TGCTCCAATCCAGACTGATTGCTTCGAGCCCATGCATAGCTGTCATCTTGTGCTTTCTCTAGTCATCCTGCTGACTCTGCCTTTCCCCTGTGCTGGAGTCCGTTTCCTGGAATCTGTGCTGACCCCCTCCTTGGTCTGCTCTCTCGTTTTACTGAAGTCAGCCCTCTAGTAGCTTCCTGGGAAGGGTCCATATCTGAAGTGTGTTTACTCTCACTCTGATAGTTTGGTAGGGTATAGAATTCTAGGTTGGAAATACTTTTCCTTCAAGGTATTTGAAGTCATAGTTTTTTTGTTTTTTTCCTTCAGCTGCCAAGGCGGCAGTTGAAAACTCTAAAGCCGTACTAATTCATAACGATTTGTATGGGATATATTTGTTCTCTGAGAAAGCGTTTAGGATCTTATCTTTATCCTCAGTGTTGCCAAGTGTCACAATACACCTCGATGTGGACCTTTCTACCCAGGGATCTACACACACAGTTGTCTTTTTCATCCCAGAGGCTCATGTCCATCTACTTGGGAGTTTTTTTGTTTGTTTGTGTGGTTTTTTTTAGATATATTTTTCTTGATTTCAAAGAGTAAGGGAGAGGGATAGAAACATCAATGATGAGAGAGAATATTGATCGGCTTCCTCCTGCCTGTCCCCCACTGAGGATTGAGCCCGCAACCCGGGCATGTGCCCTGACTGGGAATTGAACCATGACCTCCTGGTTCATAGGTTGACACTCAATCACTGAGCCATGCCAGCTGGGCTCCTTAATTCATTTTTGTTTAAAAAAAAATTGTTATTGATTTGTGAGAGAAAAACAGCAAATTGTTGTTACATTTAGTTATGCATTTGTTGGTTGATTCTAGTATGTGTCCTGACCAGAGGCGAACCCCACAACCTTGGAGTATTGGGGTGACGCTCTAACCCACTGAGCTACCCCGCCAGGGCCTACAAATTTGTTTCAGTTAAATTGTAGGACACTGGTCAGTGTCTGCTGAGACCTGGAGAGTTGCTGGATGGTTTGGAAACACACATCGGGCTCTCATTTCTTCCCTTTCTGAGTTCATGTTTACTCTCCCTGATTCCTTTCCACACACACACACACACACACAATGTTCTTCATACGTGCATTTTTCTCACTTTAATTATAGATTCTTCAAAGCCTTTCTCCTGCTCTCTGCATTGGCTCTCCCATCCCGGTTCCTTCTCTCCATTTGCTCTGGTCTGTCCACTTCTAGGCGGAAGCTTTCCTCAAACGTCTGGCGGGCCTTCTTTCCCTGTTGCAATCTGAGAGCGAGACACTGTGTTAGGGAGGATCAAGCCCCACGGACAGTGTCAGAAAACCTTCCAATAAAAGTGTCTGAAATAAGACAGAGGATGGGTCTTCTCTCAGGTAGAGGTGGTCCAGGGCTGGCTCCTCCACAGGGGACTCCGGAAGGAGGAGTTGGGAGGTGCATCTACCACTGACATCCCATCGGCCAGAACTTGGCGCACACACAGCTGCAAGGGAAGCTGGGATGTGTAGTTTTTCAGGCGACCTGCCCAGGCAAGGTAGTGGTGAAATCACTAAGAAAGAAAGGAAGAATGGATATTGGGGACAATGGCAGTCTCTGCCCTTAACAGCTGGGTGGGCGCCCTGCTCACCTGGGCAGGGCTCAGCATTCCTAGGCCACGGTGGCGGCGGTGGCGGTGGCGTGGGCGACCTGGTGAATGTTTCCTCTGGGTCTCCCTTTTCCCTCCCAGGGTGCCCGTCTGCCAGGCTTCCTTCTGGAACCAGAGTCGGAAGGGAGCCTGCCTGCCCCAACCCACAGAGTGCAGAGTTCCAGTTCACCTCCCTCTTCTCAGTCTATTCCGTCTGTAATCCTCTCAAGTTCAATGAACAGCATCACTGCAGTGCTTGCTAAGTACCGGGCACGTGTGTTTTCTTTTTTTTTTTAAATATGCTTTATTGATCTTTTACAGAGAGGAAGGGAGAGGGATAGAGAGTTAGAAACATTGATGAGAGAGAAACATCAATCAGCTGCCTCTTGCACACCCCCCCACTGGGAATGTGCCCGCAACCAAGGCACATGCCCTTGACCAGAATTGAACCTGGGACCCTTCAGTCCGCAGGCCGACGCTCTATCCACTGAGCCAAACCGGTTAGGGCAAGGGCACATGTGTTTTCACAGGCAATCCTTATTCAGCCCGACCAGTCAGGCGGTATTGTCGACCCCAACTCACAGATAAGGACCCCGAGAAGGGGGGCTGAGACGTGCGCACCCAGGGCCCTGCGGCTGGGCAGCGGTGTGGGAAAGGACCCCTCCCCCCAACACACACACACACACACACACACTCCCCAGGGTCGTGGTTCAGGGCCTGGACACATGGCCGCGTTGCCCAAGGGAGGGGTGAGTTCAGACTGCCAGCCAGACCTCTGTTCAGGCTGGAGTCTCACCTGCCTTTCCCGGAAACATGTCTCTGTGACCCAAACTTAGGTGCAGAATAAACAGATAAATAAATGAAACAAACCACTTGAGTACTGGGGCCCGGAGGACATTTGCTCTTGGGCCTCCGGGTTGGGAAGACCTCCTACACACCTGAACCCCAAATCCAGGAAGGACAGAGCCCAAAGCCAGGCATCTTTGTCTGGCTGAACCGTCACAGGCAAAGCCAGAGGCCAGAAACGGGAACTCTTTGCAACTTGCAAAAGGCTGAGGCAACACCGATTGATAAGAAAGAGAGAAGATGGCCCTGGCTGGTTTGGCTCAGTGGATAGAGCGTCGGCCTGCGGACTGAAGGGTCCCGGGTTCGATTCCGGTCAAGGGCATGTACCTTGGCACATCCCCAATAGGGAGTGTGCAGGAGGCAGCTGATCGATGTTTCTCTCTCATCGATGTTTCTAACTCTCTATCCCTCTCCCTTCCTCTCTGTAAAAAAAATCAATAAAATATATTTTTAAAAAAAGGGGGGGGGATAAAGAAAGAGAGAAGACGATCCAAGGGCACGAAGAGGTCAGAAAACGTTGTAAAATGGAGAGTTCTTGCTGTACTTTCAAAGGCAAGACCCCTAGGGACATTCCTGAGAGGGAAGAGGAACCGAGGGGAACTGTACTCCACGCG